ATATCTCCACTTCTCAGAAGCTCTTTAATTGCCAATCGTTTTTTCTCATTTGCCTATCTGCTCTATTTTCTCCAGCTCACCTTATCTTCTCAAGCTCTGTCTCAATTTGCCATTATGGAAAACTGATGTTTATCTCACACACCTCACCGTCGCTCCTTACAGGGAAAAAGGTGAAATTAAAACCCACCTAGTATTTATTTTGCATAAGAAACCATGCTGTGCAATTACCAAACCATTAATTATGTGCAGATTCAACACAAGAGGTTTTGAAACGTGATATAACACTCATGAAAAGGCCTTGGTGAACTGCGCTCCTGTTCTTTCTCTAACTTAGTTCATTTTGCTAAGGAACGCCTAACTCTCCCACAGCTTTTAATCTGTTCTCAATGCTCAGAGAGTTGTTTGAAAAGTTGTTGTAAAGAAATTTTTGGTTTGTGTATTAGACATGCCCTAACTATCATCAGTCTACTGTCTACTGTATGTCTGAAAGACAGGAATTGTAGGTGTTCCTTTCTTCCTAAAATTAGAACATCTTAAATCATTTTCTGAAGCCCATATGGGTTGCCCAGAAACTCTCGTCTCAATTCTGCGAGACATGGGCTGGCTATTTGCTAGAATACTCGACGCAATGCGGGGTTCAGGAGTTCACCTGTGTAATAGTTGTCATAAAGGAAAAGCTGCTATCTCTGGCAGCAGATTCACCCCATGTGACGCGGATCATCCGTGATAAAGACACCACTAAATGATGCTCAGGTTGGTGGCAAAATCCTCAGCCTGTCTTTGAGCTATATCTCTGTTCGGCTGAATTTGGAGACTTTTTTGCAAAAAAAAAATGTGCTCATGATTGCTGTGAGATTTTTTAAACAAACTTCATGGATGGCTGGTGAACATTAAATTGTTTTGCATAGTGTGTGTGTATCATGAAAGGTTATGTCATGGTCAGGTGTTTATTTTTATACTGTAAATAAACTAGATCTGGCTCCAGCTCTCCCACAGATCTCATTTTGTTTCCGTTTATTTCTTTAAGGGTTTGGGTAAGGGCCAAGTGAGGAACTTTGTGAGGAACTTTTTTAGTAGAACAAAAAAATTCTATCAGTGGTTTTAAGGATTTGTAAAAAATGTAAATATTTAAATGTGAGGAACTTTTGTAGTAGATCAAAAATGTCTATCAGTGGCTTTAAGGATTCGAAATGTGTCTGTCAGTGGTTTTAAGAATATGTAAAAATAGAAAAAATTCAGCATGTGGATCTTGTTTTCTAGCAAAAATATCTGAACATCCTTAAAAACAATCTCAGTTTAATTTAGAAGCAATACCTCATAATATGCCAAAACTTAATTTCAGAGAATGTGTGTATCTTAAATAATAGTTAAGGATTTTAGTATTTTTCACCGGCCGTTTTTTACACACTATGAAAAAAAGTGTGTATATTTTTATATTCATGATATTCTCTTCATGTTTTCGGTGGACATCAGGACAATGCTATACAATATCTGGTGCTTTGGATGCTTTTATTTTGGATGCAATAGAGAAGTAATTTATTTCCCATAAACATCTTTTCACTTCTATTTGAATTTGTCTTAGACCCTTTTCTGCTGAGCTTCTGAACTCTGTAGCTCCTACAAAGTTTTATTTGGCCTCTCTGAAGCTGCTCCCAAGAGTATCCTCCTCCAAGCAGAGAGTTTAATGAGACGACCTTTGATGTACAGTAGCCTCTGTTTCATGATAATTCAACCAATTACCAGAGACTTTTTGTTTGTTTGTTTGTTTATATATACACTCTAAAAAATGCTGGGTTGTTTTAACCCAACTTTGGGTCAAATATGGACTAACCCAGCCGTTGGGTTAAATTTTTACATTACATTTTTAACCCAACATTTCGGGTTTGTCCATATTTGACCCAAAATTGGGTTAAAACAACCCAGCATTTTTTAGAGTGTAGATGTTTGTCTTTAACAACAACAAATATTTTACACTGTAAAAATGAATATGCTTTATCTAATCAATAAAATTGTGGCAACAGATTACAAGCAATATTATTTATTAAATTGAACAAATTAGAATTGAGTAATAATTAATCAAATTAATATTCTAATTAATTCTAATTTGTACAATTTAATTAATAATATTGCGTATAATATGTTGGCACAATTTTATCGATTATAGCATATTATTTTTTTCAGTGTAGTCTTCACAGGTTTTCAAAGCTGTCCTTTAGTATGGACATGATCCCTTAATGGATTTTAATAAAAAATTGTAATGATTTACAAATAATGGACAGTTGCAAGTCTGAGAACTAAACAAAATTTCAATATAGATTTTGTAATTCCATACAAAGAGATATAATATATTGGTCCATTCGGGCTGCCAAGAAATGACCATAATGTGCAACCAACATATGTGAAGAATCAACACTCGGTTTCAATTCCTATTAACATAATGCCATTAAGAAACAGACACATTTAGTGTCCATTTCTCATGTTATGCCATGATTCCCATTTAAAGAATTCACGTTGAAAAGAGGCATATTTATCTGTGCTTTCACAGGGGTGCTAATAGGCTCTTTAAAAGTATCTCATTACTTTCTCATATTGAATTCTGCTCAAGCTTGCTTCTTGGCTGTCAGAAAGTTAATCAAAGCTTTGTTTCTCTGTGGTACGCCTGCATAATCCATGTGGCACTCAGCTATTAGGAGTGAGGCACTTCAGATAAGATGTTTTTATCCTCATCAATCATCGGTTTCAGTCAATTCACTAATACTGACACCCCTGTCTTAGACCAATTAATGGAACAATTAAAACGAAATCACTCCAGAAGGAAGAAAAAGTTTCTTTTGACTTCAGTTTCTCTTAGAAGAATGCAGTTCTGAGGTTGGACAGGCAGCCGCTCGAACTGCCAACGCAGAGGAATGATACTGACACATGAAAGGCTAGAAGTCAATGATTAGTGAGATGGGCTACGGATCAATTTGGCCTGACACAGACTTTGAAGCCTTCCGCTATGCTAATCAATGAAAAACTGCCTGCTCGTTAATGCCTTCAAAGATGGATGGAAAACAAATGGCTACCTCTGGCATCATCCCTCATCAGCCCTCCTGTGCTGCTGCCAACACACAAACACACACACACAACAGTAGCCTCAGCCACCTTTGGTTCATATTTTAATTTAAAAGTACTATAGCTTTAGGAATTGTGTTTGTTGTTTATTTGCCTTGTCTGATAACACAAGGTCTCGGGGGTGTTCTGTTTCTTCTCTCCGAAGCATTTTTTTCTTTTATGATTGTACCCTGTCCCTGAAGATTCAACTCTCCAGCATTTTCAATATAATTCTGTTTTTGCTGCATAATACCGTACATTTTGTGTACACATACACAACTGACAGTGAATACCTTTACATAAAGAGTTATATTTATATTACAAAAGATTTCACTCTTAAGACAAAACAATCCAAGGCACTCAAATAATAGTTTTTAGACAAATATAAAAAGCCTTTATTATTTCATGGCTTAAATTTTCAAAACAGGTGACAAGCCTAGATTTCTTTCAAATAAATGATATTTTGAACCAATATCTCTCTCTCTCTCTCTCTCTATCTCTCTATACATACACACACACACACACAGTCAACCCTACATTTTTAATACACTCTACATTTCTCAAATTATCACAGTTTATTCTATACAGTCCTTCTGTTAGACTGTCTCACAAATTAATTAGGTCTGTCACAACGACATCCAGAGTTCTTCAAAATAACACATGGAGGACGTTAAATGCCATTTTTATATTTATTTATGTTCTCCCAAGCCAGTAAAGACACTAGCCTTGCATCAGGTCTAATACTTCAGTCACATCACACAGTTGATACAGCATCAGTCTTTTACCCTCCTGATCACTTCATTCTGTGAGAATTTACTGGGTACAACCATTTCTCAGCATCATCACATGGGGAAGCAATAAAGATCATGAATAGATAATAGATATCAAGTAAAAAATATTATGTGATCAAGTAACTCCATTTTCTTCATCACACAAATTTCAACAACAGTACAAACTTCAATAAGTAAACTTCAGCAATATTTAAAGGAAGTACACATTAACATCAACCAATTCCCCTTCCTTTCCCACCATACTTGGTATCTCCCACTTCCCATGATGCAACACAGCACAGGTATAAAAGACATGAGAAAAGTCCATTCCAGTCTTTTGCCCAAATCAAGATGGCCGCCACCATGTATGCTGCTCCAGGTGACAATCAACAGTCTGTTGCAAACTTTAAATGTCCTCAGGGTTAGTGCTCAGGTGGCCAGTCTGGGACACAACAGTATAGTTGAAGATATATTTGTTTGGTTAACCCATTTCTCATGTTGCTGGTACACTAAGGTAAATAAAGAGTCTTTTAAAAAACCAAGTATCTGTTCATGTGTTTTGTAGAAAGCTAACAAGGGGTCACAAAGAACTGAGAGTAGCTCTGTGACAAGGTCTAACAGCTGTCAGCTGTTAAAATTAAGTACACAATTAGATGATGCCAATTTAGGTCAACCAATTACTGTACCAAGCAGTGCTTGATTTTGTTCAGTCTGTGGTGTAAAAGGTTCACATTAGCAATTAAAGAAAAAACACTTAAGCAAAACATGGTCAGGTCAATATGTATGAATAATGTTTGGTCCCAAATTTGTATACATTTTACTGGCAGTCCACTGTATGAAGAATTTTTGGTTGTAATATTGTCATAGTTTACTTTATTTTGCCATCCTACTTGCATAAATTAACTATAGTGTCCTGAACCCACTATAGTTGTCCTATAGTTGTAACTATAGTGTCCTGGTTAGGGTTAAAGTTAGTGAGCGAGTCATATTTGCTTTCTTACATGTAGAAAGGATTACCAAAGTTCAAATATTCCCTCATCTATAATTTAAATCTGTAAAAAGCTTTTCTTGAATGCCCAGCTAATCCCACAACAGTGAACTTTGACCTTGAACCACTGCCCTCTGCTTGTCCCACAGGAGCAGAGCCCCAGTAACCAGACATCCATGATGCAGGAGCCCCAGGAGGTCGTGGAGGAGACTGTAACTATAGAGGAAGACCCCGGCACACCCACCTCTCGTGTTTCTGTGGTTACCTCAGAGGATGGAACTACACGCCGCACAGAGACAAAGGTATTCCTGCTTACAACTGCCACATTTTCGAAATATCTTTGTTTACATATTATGTTATTATTAGCTATGCAAATGCTCATTTATGCTTGTATCATCTCATTGTACAATTACATCTATAACTTTTATATTTATACATTTATATTTTCAACATTTATATTTTATGTGCATCACCTCACGTTTGTTAAGCAAAAATCTCCCTCAAAGAGCTGTTTTATATTTAGCAAAAGACTTTAATAGTCTTATTTAATATCAGAAATTACTGTAATATTCATGCGTTGAATAAAATGTGGAAAGGCTAGAATAACTGTTCCTGTTGTTGACATTTTTACATTAAAAATTTATTTTTTTTTAAAACTGTTCAGAATACTATTGTAGTGTTTATTAATATTTTGAAGGTGTATGTATGTGTATTTTTTTCAATTTTAGTTCGTTTTAGTAGTTTTGTAATGGTTTTTGCCATTTTTATTTTGTCTTTTTATATATTTCTATTTAGTTTAAATGGTTTTATTTCAGTTTTAGTCATTTTCTTACTTTAATTCAACTTATTTTATTTCAGTTATACATTTTTAACTTCAGTTTACATTTTTATCTAATTATATACTTTTGATTTTATTTTATTCCAGCTTTATTTCAATGAACAATTTTAAGTTAAAAAATAGCAACTCTGGTAAAAAAAACTTTTGTCCAGATTAGTGGGAGGTGATGATGTGGTTTACAATAGTCAATGAGTTTAGCCAATCAGCTCTTTAGTGATGAGACAAAGGGCTTAACAGACTAGTGCTTCTTTACCAGTAACACAGCTCAGATATGTTCAACCCGAGAGAGCATTTTCCTATATAGGCTAGGCTGGAAAGTTGAAAGAATTCAAAAAAAATGTTGCTGCTAATATGCTAAAGAGAAATTTAGCACAATAAGAAATAGCAGTAGCTCTGTTTAGATCAAACCATTCATGTTGCACTTTTGTAAGCCACACAATCTTGATTCCCCTTTACTTGTGTTTTGTTGTTTATAAAAGGACAATGTGACTAATATGAAGGTGAGTTAAAATCTCTCTCTCACATAAGCTTTCTCACACACGCCAGTCACCATTATTTGTGCCCATTGGAGCTCAGCAATGCATAGCATCTCAGCACTGGTGTGAAATCACTGCATAAAGCTTCAATTGGCAGAGCGGTCACCTCTTAACGCCCTTTACTGCTACAGTCCTGTTCGTAATGGTAGGTTTACATTCCCCTTGCAGATTCTGCTAAATGTCTATCATTTTTAAAAATGTTAAGGGATCATGCTAATTTCCCTATTTAAACTGAATACTGCCCTGATGAAGCTATGGTTACTCCAAATTGAACGAGCCAAGTTAGTAACTTGAGAAGAAAGCTGTTTTGGCATATTGTTAGGTGCAGTACAGTATATCAAAATGTAAACATGCCACTTAGGATTTCCTATCGTTGCTGCTTCTCATTGCTATGATAATGGTATGGTAAATGTTGCTCTTTGTGTGTGTAGAACTACCAACCTTCAATTATTTAGCCCACTAAAACCCCATTCCATTTTTACAATCAGTTGCAAGCTCACATTCAGATCAGGCTCCATCCAAACAATAACAGATGGAGCTGAGTTTTCGCCCTACATTTTGTTTTCTGTTTTAATCATCTATTTCACTCAAATGTACGTCACACTATGTAAGAAAATATCTGCTATTCCTATCTCGCTTTTTCTGGGCAGTAAAAATTAAACAGCAAAATTTATGCTCTCTCTTACTTACTAAAAATGCTAAACATATTACACTTTCTGCAAAGGGCATGTACACTTATGAGAAAAGAATCATGTAAAGTGTACTAGCCATATCACAGAAATGCATGCACAAGCATTAACCAATGTGCATAGAAACGGCCCTGGTCTACAGTGTAACAAAGGACACATAGTGAAAGGAAGTGAAGGGTAAAGAATGATCTTACTGCTGCACTGTTTGTCACCATTAGACCACTCACACACGGCCAAACTTATGAAACACACAAAGGAAAACCATCTCAGTGTGTGAGGTGTATGTGTGCACAGACGTATGGGTCCTTCTGACACATGTTAGTGTGTTTCAGCTGATATGGGGGTTGTGGAGACAAGCTTATAGTCACGTAAATGCATCACCTCCAGCCAGTGTAGGATAAATAGCTCTGGGTCGAGGGCAAAATCCTAGCGTTCCATTACTTCCTGGATGGGTTTGAAACTAATGTTCACAGTCAACATAAATGTGCTTCCTAAAGAATTTGGCACCATAACATCTTATCTAATGCACTTCAACAAAATTCGTCCAGAGATACCCAAGGAAATACTAAGACTGCACTGCTTATTTCTTAGTAGAAATTAGGGATGCTCCAATCGATCGGCTGCAGATCGCTGTCGGCCGATAATCACATTCTCTGACTCGATCGTTAGTCTCTAAATTTGTCCGATCTCACAAACCGGTAGCAATTTGAACACAAAATAAAACCAACAAAAAGTTGCAGCTGACGTGCATGTAAACTAGACCAGCTTTTGCACCACATTTTGCTTTGTAACTTTGCAAAACATTTGTATTAGGTTCTTAGGTATGGTAGGTATGGATGGACGATGTGTCAAGATGAATCGAACAGTATTGAATAATCGAGATTGATATTGGCTGAACATGATGACAATAAATCAGTATTTTGGATTGGCTACCAAAAATCCTGATTGGAGCATAGTAGACATGGAATTAATTAAAAATATTTAATGATGAATTGATTCATACATATGCTTCATCAGATGCCATTTTTATTCTTTCCACCATGGAATCGCATAGACACCATTGTGAGATATCGTCGGCAGCATAAATGTACCCCATAATCCTGTGCTTGAACAAAAACCGACTAGATGAAGGCACTTTAGTTGACAGGATGTAAAACATATCGATATAACTGTATAGATTATAGTAGTAGATTAGAATGAGTAGATTATAGACTAGAAACATTACAAACTGACTGTTTTATTAAATAAATAACATAAATCAATGAAAAAAAAAAACGTTTCCATGTAGAAGCCTTCGATAAAATAATGTGTTTCTCTCTCATGCGTCTTTTTTTGCTTCTGTGTTTTCTCGTCTTGGAAATCGTCCTGCTAGAGGAACATCTAATTAAATGCTGAAATTACTCTTTTGTGAAGGACAAAATGAGACAATAAAAATATTTTGTCTCAAAGGCATTCTCATGTTTTCTTGTTTAGCCAGATCATTCATATCGAAATTAATTATCTGGCCCAGTTTGTGTTTTGGAATATTTTGGCCTATTAACGAGGCTTCATGGGAAAAGTCCAACTTGTTTTTTTAAGCAGGCTTTCATTTAACTGCCAAGGCTTAATTTCCATTATTACTATATCCTATTCTGACTAACGTCTCCTGAACTGACATACTTTCACTGTAGGTGACCAAAGTGGTTAAAACCATCACACGACGAACCTTCCAGCCAGTGGTCCTGAGCCAGTCCAAACCATCTACTCCCATTCCTCCATCTACTACATCTGAAACAAAACCAGTAAAGAGTGCTTCTGGTTGACATGTCTCTGCCTCCCGTCTTTCATCTCACTTAATTGTGTCTGTAACTCACAGCTGGTGTGGCAGCGGTCTGTAAAACTAAATACCAGGGAGATCATTAAACCCTTGTGGAACTGTAAAATCTATGGCCATGACGCCTGCATGCACCTTGTACAGGCAAACATTAGTGTAAACAGCCATCGCTGTAGTAGATAGACACCTTTCATTAGAGGCAACAGTAGCCTTGGTGGTTAAGCTTAGTCTAAATATAAGCCTCAGTGTCCTTCTACCTTTAAACTTGCCCATGTTTCACATTCAATTTCAATAACCTTTTTAAAGTCAACATGAAATCCTGCTTGCATTTCATTTTATCTAAAACATTATATATATATATATATATATATATAAATTAATAGAGCAAAAATGCATGTTTTCCACCGGTTTTTGCTAAGTAAACACAATTAAGCATGATCTTTTAATAAGCAAGACAATTTGTTTCAGGAGAAGAACAAGTAGTTATATTTAATTTTTTGATGTATATCTGGAACAATGTGCGGCAGCACATCACATTTTTCCAAGCTAATATTTATATGTTGACTTTAAAAGAGATTGGTGTATGTTTTCACATAATAGATGTTAACCTCATGTGTGGGTGTTAAGGAGTTTTCACACTGACAGCGATTTGTGGAGATGGCGCAGCTTAAAGTTGGGATAATTTGGGACGGTATGAGCAAAAGAGACAATTGACGATGCAACAGAGAAGCAACACTGGCAACAACCAGTAGGAGTGCAGACAGTTTTACAGCTATATATGTAATTCACCTTATGAATACAGTTGGATAATGCAATTGAGTGCAATGTATACTTGCAAACAATACAGCAGTTCAGATGACTTGGCCCAATTAAATTGACATGGGAGTCATTGCTGCATTTATCTTATCTGTTTGTCAAAACTGAAGTATACACACGTGAATATTTGTGACCGATCCTTTTGTGGTAACAGACCTCTGTAGACAGGCGCATCCCTTGAGATATTACACACTGACAACTGACCATGTGGCTTGTAAGGGCTCACATACAAATTCAAGCAGTCATGGTTCATCTTCAATGACGATTCATTTTTATCAAGCTCATTAATTTCCAAGATGAATTTACAGCTATGGACAAAATAGCCAATTAATTGCTCTGCAGAATTCACTGAGCAGCAAATTGGTTTCTGTATCAGCATTGAACCTTCAGGAGCAGCAGCACTCCATCCTCTTGACAGGCAGACATTTTTTGTAGAATAAGGGACTGAATTAACACTCAGAGGGGAATAGTGATTTATTTAAGTTGAGTCATAAAGACATCAATGTCCAGTGATAGACACAGTGTCTCTCTTAGTAACATACTGTATGTGGTTGTGGTTTCCTTTGTAAGGTTCCTCAAAGGGGTGTGTTTAAAAATGGAAAAATGTTTTTGATGATATCATCATGTGATGATAAGATGACAATTCCTGTAACAGTAATGTAGCATTTAAAAAAAATTCTAGCAAAACATACCCTTACGCCCGTTTCACACATACTCCGTTTGCAGTGCGTAGGCGGTCCGTATTTTTTTCCGTACCCATGTTAACGGGTTAGAGCTTTCACACTGCACGCGGTTGCAGTCCGTCGATCCGTTCCAGTTGCGGTGTGTATACAGCAGTGCAGAGATCGTTTCCGTACCGAGTCTATTTCTGCTGTGCTGCAAACGCAGAAATAAAGTGACAGCGCACGGTTCGTCGTCAAAATGAACTCAGATTGACCTCGAAATGTAGTAGTTTCACCATAAATGCATTTAATTCAATAAAATGTAGTAATCTCTCCATAAAGGTATTTAATTGTTTCATATTTTTACTTTAAGACATCTTAATATATGCATGGAATAATAACAGGACTGTTGGTCACTGGTCACGGTATTGCTGCATAACTTCTGATTTTGAAATAAAAATAGCCAGTGTTTGTGGTACAGCTCACGCACTGCAAACGCAGCATATGTGAAAGCACTTTAGCGCGTGCGGCTCCTGTACCGGATACGCACCGCAACACTCACCGCATACGCACTGCAAACGGAGTATGTGTGAAACGGGCGTTAGTCTCTTAGTTTAAAGGGATACTCCACTTTTTTTGGAAATAGGCTCATTTTACAACTCCCCCCAGAGTTAAACAGTTGAGTTTTACCGTTTTCGAATCCATTCAGCCAATTTTCTGATATTTAAAGGAATATCAGTAACCAGACAGTTTCTATGTAAGTCAATGAGACTAGAAACTGTTTGGTTACTGATATTCTTCTAAATATCACAAAATTGGCTGAATGGATTAGAAAATGGTAAAACTCAACTATTTAACTCTGGGGGCAGTTGTAAAATGAGCCTATTTCCAAAAAAAAAGTGGAGTATCCCTTTAACTAGTAAATAAAGCTGCTTCTAGAAAACCTTAACTGATAGCAACGTTTTCTTTATGGTGAGGAACTTTGTAACAACTACTGAGAATGTTGTTGAAATGTGTCCATATATTTTCAGTTCCAGCTGTTTCATTACTGATGAACACAAAGCATTTTAAGGGACTGGGAAAGATCTTCAGTCATTATACTGCTACTCATCCAGCTCACAGTGTGACACCCACTTCCCTGCTGATGTTAGACCACTAAGTCAATGTGCAACATTTCACTCATAAATGCCTGTGGTTGTTTTGGCTGCTATGATTTGAGCAATCTGACATAATGGCTTCATTCTAATATCACATATATGCCCTGCATAAGGCATTTAAGACAGGGAACGACTCACTAGACTCACTCTGCATAAAAAGCACAGACCTTCACTTCTGACACAAACTGATTCTGTTGCATTTTTTGCATCATCTTAGGTCACTAAGATGGTCAAGACAGTGACAACACGGACAGTTCGGCAGGTACCAATGGGTCCCGACGGTCTTCCTCTTCCAGAGGGCTCATCTCCACTGGGGAGCTACACCGACTCCATTGATCGGCGCTACATGAAGAACGGCGAGCGCTTCATCACACCCCAGGCCACTTCCACCCTCACACGCTCTTACAACAATTACAGCGACTCCTACAATGACACTCCAGACAGTCAGTATCGCCATTATGGCCTTCACGATGGATATGGAGACATGCCCGAGAACTACGGAAGTCTCTCACGTGGAGTCAACTACAGGCCCTATAGGCCGTACATGCCCACCGTTGGATACCGGCCGGAGAATAGCTACACTCTCCCCATCCGCAAGGAAGACTATGGCCATGTGGCCCAGCCTCAAGTCCCTATGGGAAGTAGCACCGTGGATCTTAATCGTTCTCAGCCTGAGCGCTTCCAACCTGAACCTTATGGGCTGGAAGACGACCGCCGCAGTCTCGGCCCAGATGACGAAGAGCCGTACGACCTAGAGCCTGATTATTCTACGGCTAACCGCCGCACGCTGCCCGGACGTACCATTCGAGAGCCGCTACGCAATGGCCCCCGTGTGAGGTAAGAATCATGCAGTTGATTTGGTTTGTTTGCTTGTGCTGTGGCTTTTTTGATGATTGTGAGCAGCTTTTAATGTGATTGCCTATTGAAGGGATTCAAATGCTCCGGCCCTTGAGAAGCACATAGATGCAGGTTTTTTTTTCACGTAATGGAAGGTTATTCATACTTTGCATGTGACGTCACAAGTGCTGGCTGGCGGGCAAGAGAGTCGGTCTCTAGCAACGAAACCCAGTAAACTAATCAAAGATCGTTGCCAGTTTTAATATACAAAAAGATGGTGTTTTGAGGTGTAAACGACACGCCAGATAGTAGTTGTGCGATTGAACGCACTATGTCAGTCGTGTAATCTTAACATAAATGTGCTTACATGTTCGCCAGTAGGTGGCGAGATCGTGTTCATCTGTATGTGATTTGATATGTTATGAGAAGATGAATGACACGTTACGGTTGTACTGCGTCTACTTAATTAGTTACTTTGCATGCATACTATAGTACACTTATTTCATTATAGCCTAACAGATTGCTAACAGGATTATACGCATTTCGCTGCTCTTGTCTGTTTTATGATGCTATGTGGAGTAGATAAGCAGGTAGGCTACAATGTTTGACATCCTGCTAGCCAAATATGATTTTATGTTTACATTTATTTCATAAATACATTTATTATTCTATCTGATACTGAAAATGGCACAAGTGGCATGAGACACTATCCTTAACTGGTACAGTAAGATACTGGATCGATGGATGGATGGAAGTGTTGAAACTAAATATTGCATACATTTCTTCATTGTCTTACTAGCAGTGATTGATTTCCCTAATGGTCGATTAATTCTTTTAAAAAGTTAAATCTATCTTCAGAGAGACAAAAAGGAAAGGATGATGTTATCTCAAACCTTTTTTTCCTTGTCATAATTCTCCAGTCAATATCAGCGTAGTACCAGTTTTGACGGGGAGCATGTGTTGCAGAAACACAGTTTCTTTTTAATTAGGGTACACAGACACGCACACACACAGTATGCCATCACTGTCACAAACTGCATACACAACTTTTTATGCACAACTGCATACACCACTTCCTGTTTTTCAGTCCATAAACTGTTTGTGTACATCCAGAATTATAGTATAATTGGCAGAGATGTCACCCTTCTTATTCCAACGCCTTGCATTTTGCATCCATCATTAGCATTTCCATAATAACAGATGTTGACAAAAAATCACACTAATGAATGTGTAAAACAAATACGTTAATTAGAGCTTATTGCTTGCAGTTTGGAGTCGTGCAATTATAAAAAGCCAAAATTGCGACATTTAGCATAGAGATTGTTGAAAAATGTCATGTTTCCATGGATTAGGCCTTTTCCGTGCATTCCATTTGTTACCCAGATTAGAGGTCTCTTCTTTATCTCTCTTTCTCTATCTTGGTGGAGCTGTTGTTGTCAGGGTGATTAATAGTCTCTGGTGAACACTGCCAGACAAAGGGGGTGTGTCGTCTCCAGCCATATCTCTAATGGTTCTGATCCTCCCTGCACCTGCCACCAATGCCACAGCAGATCAGCCATGGGTCATCATGCAGAAATCTCCCAGGAGACCACCAGGAACCACTTCCTCTATGTGCCCAAGCTGAAACGACATCAGTTTATATTGGCAGAAAGGGAAAAACATCCCAACCTTTATCTTGTGAAAAGAGAAAAGATTGGAATAGAGTTCTTATTTAGAATCAGTTGGCATAGTTTTAACACATGTATTCTTCCTCTGATGCAGGCGGAATACCATAGTAAAATTCTCAATTTTTCTCGGTGTGATCTGATTCCTGAAAAATGTATATCTTGCGAGAACATTCTTTTTAGTGAATCAAAGATATGCAGCAAAACCAATCAAATTCCCGAAAGAATTATTCTGATGAGTCGGTTCTTTCTAGTGAATTAAACACATATAGGTCAACTGATGTAGTCCAATACCTGAACAAATTATTCAAATGAGTCTGTTATATTAATGAATCAAACTCAAAGCTAAACCAGTGTTGTTTGATTCCCATACAAATGACTCGTTGTTTTTAGATTTTACCCTATTGTTTGGTATTATTTTGATAAATATTTACAACTTACTGATTTGCATACTGTATATCCCCTTTTGCAAGAATTGTTTATATTACTTTTTTTAAATGTATTATTGAAAGTATCTCATTATTCGTCGGTCGAATGGCATTTCCTTTTTTTTTTTAAAAAAATGTTTATTCCTAAAGGGGTCCTATTATGCCCTTTTACGAAGTCCCTTTATGCTTGATTGTTTAAAAAAGCATTCTTTTTCACATATTTTACATTATTACAGCTGCTCTCTCCCCAGTCTGGTCGAACGCGTGTGTTGTAGCCTATAATTAGTTCCATTTAACTGCTGCACCAGTCTTTTTTCCTTCCTTATCAAGGAATGACGACCCTGGATGTTTCTGTTTCGTTTTCCCTCACCTTTTTCGCAGTGTCTAGTATCGCCTCCATGCTTGTCTGACAGTGTCCCGTATTTTTAAAATTGATTGACAGGCCTGGCTTAATGACAATTCAAATACTTGCATGCCATGTAGTCAAACATCCATCCACATAATGGCGCACTAGTTCTTCTTGGCAAACGGAGGGGTTGGTTTATGTGGAGCGAGCAACTGAGTAAATAAATGCGGAGGCACCCGTGCTTATGCTTATAGCCCATTGCACGGAAAAGCGCTGATTCGCACTCTCACTTAAAAAAAGGTCAGAGAACGGTGTCATAGAATTGTTTTAAATACTGTCATTTTGTTAAATGCCCAACATTGTTTAAAATAATTTGGGTCTTCTCAGGTCCATTTGGAAAAGGCATATAAATTACCAGAGACCCAAGGCCACTAATACCGAACCCGACCCGTGTCCGAGACACTCGTAGGAGTTTTGGATCCGAACCCTCTCGGGTCGGACCTCTGGTTTTCGGATCCAAGTGGACCCGTGAAGACCTCTACTGTGGGGGCCATTTCAGTACAGTGAACTCTTTGTTACGCCAAATTCTGACTCTACCAACTGATTGTCTCTACATAAATCGAGACCCATCAGACCAGGCAACATTTTTCCAGTCTTCAACTGTCCAATTTTGGTGAGCTCTTTCAAATTGTAGCCTCTTTCTCGTATTTGTAGTGGAGATGAGTGGTACCCGGTGGGGTCTTCTGCTGTTTTAGCCCATCTGCCTCAAGGTTGTGTGTGTTGTGGCTTCACAAATGCTTTGCTGCATACCTCAGTTGTAACGAGTGGTTATTTCAGCCAAAGTTGCTCTTCTATCAGCTTGAAGCAGTCGGCCCATTCTCCTCTGACCTCATCAACAAGGCATTTTCACCCACTGGACTGCTGCATTCTGGATGTTTTTTTTCCCTTTTCACACCATTCTTTGTAAACCCTAGAAATGGTTGTGCATGAAAACTGAAACATGAAAACCCAGTAACTGAGCAGATTGTGAAATACTCAGACCGGCTCGTCTGGCACCAACAGCCATGCCACGCTCAAAATTGCTTAAATCACCTTTCTTTCCCATTCTGACATTCAGTTTGGAGTTCAGAAGTTTGTCTTGACCAGGACCACACCCCTAAATGCATTGAAGAAACTGCCATGTGACTGGTTGATTAGATAATTACATTAATAGGAAATTGAAGAGGTGTTCCTAATAATCCTTTAGGTGAGGATAGATAGATAGATAGATAGATAGATAGATAGATAGATAGATAGATAGATAGATAGATAGATAGATAGATAGATAGATAGATAGATAGATAGATAGATAGATAGATAGATAGATAGATAGATGAGTCTATTTTCTCATTTGTTGTTGGAACAGAATCCACAAATAATTATTAATCAATAAGTAATTGCTCATTATAATGAGTGATTATTCAAATGAGTGATATCTCAGTACCATGAGACTCTTACAAATATGCTAATATTTTCCCCTCTCTCTATTTGGAGGCAAAAGCATTTATCCAAATAATCTAAAAATAAATAATTCAGAGAAAAGGCATGGCAGGAGAACAAAATGGATGTAGTAATGGGCACATAACTATGTGGTTTATGCTGGCAAAAAATCACACTCGCATTTTTGGAACATGAAGGGAGGTATAGTAGCTCCTGTAATAACTTCAGAGCATCACATCTAGTGAAAGACCATCATGTATAGTCAAAGTGCTTTTCATGTGTTATCAATACACTCCTACATACAATGGTGGCAATTTAAATGCAAATCTTGACATTCCCATCTCCCAGTCATCAGGATTTAGCATTCATCTGAACTAAATAATTTCAATTGGCAAAGCCGTCAGTGTGTGTGTTTGTGTGTGTGTGTGTGTCTCTCTCTCTCTCTCTCTCTCTCTCTCTCTCTCTCTCTCTCTCTCTCTCTCTCTCTCTCTCTCTCTCTCTCTCTCTCTCTCTGTGTGTGTGTGTGTGTGAGATAGAGAGAGAGCGAGAGAAGGAAAGAGATGAAACTACCTGTATAATGGCAATGTTAATGATGAATAATTTTGAGCCCGCTCATTGTCTCACAGTGATCCTTTCTTCTGGTCATATCAATTTTCAATCTGCACCTGACACCACTGCGGCATATTTTTAATGAGTTCTGGCAGAGCTTTTTGTCCCCAAAAAAATTTTGGACTGAAATTCATTATTTATTCACCATGATGTTCCAAACCTTAATCTTATTTTGTGGATCAATAATTTGAAAATGTGTCTCACAAAAAAAAATAACAACCAGGTTTGGAACATCATGATGATAAGTAGGTAATTATTCATGAACACGATTCAAGGCCCTGATATACTTACGGCAATGTTCTTGTTTGTTCTTCACTTGAAGTAAAAAGAACGAAGTCAAAAATACTTTTTCAGTGTTATACTCTTAACAAACATCCTGACGTTGTCCATGCTGCTGAGAGTGACGTTTTGATGTATATGTAAAAATGTGCTTTACATTTTCCTTTCAACAAAATAAACAAACAAAAATTACAG